TCTTTGTCTTAGCAAATGGTACTCTGCTCTCCAACCACACTAGCCTTCTCTTGGGTCCTTGGAATATGAAGGGTCCTTTCATAATAACTTCTGCATATGCTTCTCTGAGCTTAGACTGCTCTGCACATATTCTACTCACCCTACTTCCTCTTCTTGTTACTAAGCTCTTGCTCATCCTTCAAACCTCAAGTTTCTGCTTAGCTATCAGCTTCTAAAGCTTTGCCTGGCTCTCCGATCTAAATTGGGTGTCCTTATACACTTTCATGACAACATGCTCTTCTCCACTGTATTTATCAGAGTTCTGATTGTTCACTTTTGTGATTAGACAATTAACTCCAAAAAGGCAGGGGAATGCTTATTTTATTCATTCTGTGTGCTGAAAGCCTAAGTCTAGTGCCTGTCACATACAAATCACCAACTAATATTTGCCAACTGAACAAATGAAAAATGAAACCAATTATTTCAAATATGAGTGTCCTGGAAGTCACATAACCTTTCTTCCTTTACCTTTTACATGTAGTTATTGATGCTATTAACATGTTTTAACCCAGATCCACAAAAATATAGCAAAACTTTCCTAAATTTCAATGTCCATATTACCCATATTTAAAAAGAATTCGATGCTTTTAAAATAGTTCTTAAAGCAACTCTAAAGATCAAAATTAATAAAATGGACTTCTGCTTTTAGAATGGTGGAGTACTGGGATCAGATTTATCTCCTTTCAATAATTAGAAAGTACATAAAATATAATACTGTTACCAGACATTGGACAACCGTGAGTTGGGTCTCAACCCCTAAAAAAGGGAAGAAATTAGGGAAGCCATCTAACTGCCCTGCCATTCTGACTGGGTGCCCTTTCCAGATCACAATGCAGAAGGGGCCATACCACACAGAGAGTGTAACAGCTTCACTGAATTGATAAGGAGCTAGATGAGGAAGATGAAGGTAACTGGAATCTTGATGGCATAGAAGAAAGCTACTGACAGAATAAAGTACTCCAGAAATCACCACAGGGGTTCTCTTAGATCTTTGGCAGAATACTGATTTACATATGCATAAGGCAAAACTCTACAAGCCTTAAGCAAAGGACAGCTGCAAAGGAGCTGTAAGATGAACAATACCCAGAACTCATTCAGAAAGAAGGATGAAAATTACCAGAGACTTTTCTGAAATTGTGCATGTTAGACACAAGGACATTACAGCTTTAAAATGCTGGAAGATAAAAAACATCAATTCAAAAATGTGTATCATTTGCCTTTCTCATTCTCTCATAAATGTATAGTTTTCCAGAGGCTAAGAGACGTGTGATATCAAAACAGATTATTCTTTTCTTTTGGAAAATAGTTATTTTTTGTTAACTTGTAATTGGTTTATTATTTTGTAAGTAAGCTGATATTTTTAAAGTTCTTAATTTTTATTTCTAAGAAGGTAAATTTTGATAACCATAGCCAACAAAAAGAAAAATATATTTGAGATCCTCAATTAAGTTTTAAGATTGAGAAGACATTCCAAGAATGAAAGGTTTTGAGACTCACTGCTTTAAGAGTAGTGGTCCCATCAAATTAGTGTTCATTTGTGAGGTCACAAAACCTGTGTGAAAGTTTTCTATTACAAACTCAATTTCCCTAACAAATACATGGCTTTCTTATTATGTCAGTCAGTATAATACATATCTTTAAAAAGAATATGTCCATTTCATCTAAGTTGTTTAATTATTAGTATATACTTATGATACTCCCTTAGGCTGCAGCATACACAGAGATGTCTCTCTTTCACTTGAGATATAGATAACTTGTGGATGCTCTCTTTTTATACTGCTCGGTCTGTCTGGATAATTTTTTCCTCAAAATTATTAATTGCATAAATTTTGACACTCTAATACTTGACACAGATGGGTTTTGGTGATAGCCCTGTGAGTCCTTGTAACACAATAGCAATGGTGATTTAATGAAATATAACATTTAGAAGGTCTGCAGACCTCACTGAGCCAGTATTTTTCAAATGATCAGTGAATGGGCAAAAGTTCATTTAAATGCAAAATAGACCAATGGATTTGAATATAATAAAGTATGAAAATTTTATTTATATGATTCCATATTTCACAGTGCTGTTAAACTGTTGAATTTTCATGTAGTATAAAAGAGGAATCCAAATTATCTGTAAGATAACATGGGAAGTACACATAAGCACCTCTGCTGTGCAGAGGAAAGAAAAAGCACCTGTACAATATTGTTGTAATTGTACAACTGAGTTGTGAGCCACCTTATTATTTTTTACTATTGTTCAATTACAGTTGTCCCCATGTTCCCCCATTACTTTCCCCTGTCCTACCCACCCCCCACCTCCCACATTCAATCCTCTCCCCCAGTTGTCCATGTCCATGGGTCCTGTATACATGTTCCTTGACTTGCCCCTTCCCTTTCTTTCCCCCATTACCCACTTCCTCCCTCCCCTCTGGTTTGTCAGTTTGGTCTCTATTTCCATGTTTCTGGTTCTAATTTGCTCACTTGTTTGTTGATTAGGTCCCACGTATAGGTAAGATTATATGGCATTTGCCTTTTGCCATCTAGGTTATGTCACTTAGCATAATGCTCTCCAGTTCTGTCAATGCTGTCGCAAAGGGGAGGCATTCCTTCTTTCTTTCTACTGTATAATATTCCATTGTGTAGATGCACCATAGTTTTTTGATCCACACTTTTACTGATGGGCATTTAGGCTGTTTCTAGCACTTGGCTCTTGTAAATTGTGCTGCTATGAACACAGGGATGCATAAATTCTTTTGAATTGGTGTTTTGGAATTCTTAGGATATAATCCCAGCAGTGGAATTACTGGGTCAAAAGGCAGTTCCATTTTTAGTTTTCTGAGGAATTTCCATACTATTTTTCACAGTGTGAGCCACTTTTTAATGTAACATTATTTTTACTTGAAAGAACAACTGACAAACTATTAATTGGACTAGAAGACATTCTAGTAACTGGAAGAGATTTGCTTGAAAAGTGAACCTGTTACTTCATGGTAAGCAAATGATAACATTTACTTCTAATGATAAGATTCAAACTATCGACTGAAAACTAAAATTTTAGAAAATTTGTACTTGTCCCTTTGATCCCTGGCAGCTTCCCAAGATTTCTAATAACATGGTGATATTAACAAATAATTTTTTTGATATTATATAATGAAGCAGCTCTTAAATCTTTGGTCTTGGGACCCCTTAGGCTCTCCAAAGTTACTGAAGATCCCAAAGAACTTTTATTTATGTGGATAATATCATTATATACTATATTATACATTAAAACTGAGTTTTTGAAGATCTTTTAAACTTAATTAAAAATAAATATAACACAGCTATTATTACATGTTAATAATACTAGCATTTTAATGGAAAATAATCTTTTTATACTCCAGTGAGAAGAGTGCCACTATTTTACATTTTTACAAATCCCTTTCCTGTCTGGCTGAATTTCAGACAAGCTGTACTGTTTTATGTGTTTCTGCACTCACTCTGCTGCAACATCACAGGTCAGGTCATGTGGCCTCTGGAAACTCTTGAGAAGCATGAAAAAGGCATATAACATCTTAGTATTACTATAAAAAGTTTTGACTTCAAAGAACCCTTTAAGCCCCTTCCTGTATCTTCCACTGTTAGAAGGAAGTTAGGAGATGGTCATAAATCTTAGCTAAAGTAAGGTACAAAGACCAATGTTGCAAATCTCTTATTTTACAAAAATTCTTTATTAAGCAACAGATTTCTTTTAAGCATAATCTATTTTTAAGGCTTTATCCTTAATAAAATCAAAGCTGTTATCACTATTCTAGTCCCCAATTCAGGTATGTTAATACTACTTTTAAATCCCCTATACACATATACATGTATGTATGAGCCCATGTGTACAGCGTGTATACATAATCTCTCACACGTGCACAAAATATATGGGAAGAAATACAGCAAAATATTATTACCAAGACTATGGGTAATTTTGATATTTTTATCATTATTTTACTCCCCCCCAATATTCTATGTACACATATATGTTTTTGCATTTAATATTTGTTTATTTATTTAATCAATCCTCACCCAAGGACATTTTTTTCATTGTTTTTTAGAAAGAGAGGATGGGAGAGAGAGAAATACCGATGTAAAACAGAAGCATCAACTGGTTGCCACTTGTGCACACCTGGACCAGGGACTAAACCTGCAATACAAGTATGTGCCCTGACTGGGAATTGAATCCACAACCCATCAGTGAAGGGACAATACTCCAACCAACTGAGCCACACTTGCCAGGGTTGCATTTAATTTTTCGAAAATAAATGGATAAATGCTACCCACTACTCTCTTCCTTTCATTAGCACTGAATAACATCTTTTCAAAAGAAGAAGAGTGTCCTAACCCTAGGGAACCAGCAGGCCTTAGTAACTACAAGGAGGCAGAGAATAAGGAGAAAACAACATCAGGAAATAGCATATAGTGGACCTCATGCTGCTATATAAAAAAACTAAAATTTAGAATTGTGATGTGAGAATCTAGGATTCCCAGTAAAATATATTCTCAAAAAATAATGATCTGTTTTACACAGTGCTGCCAGGTACTGTGTACACAAACACACTCATTAAAAATATTTAGTTGTCTGTAACTTAAGTGTTTTTACTTACTCTCCTTTGATCTTACCACAGAATATAGTATTTTAAAATTCCTACTCTTAAGTGGACTTAAACTTTTTTAAAAAGGAGACATCAATCTTTTTGGAGATTATCACAATTCATAAAAATGGCTCTTAGCCAAAAGAACTGCAGCAAAGGGCCAATAACTCAGAGCAATGACATACAAGTTCTGAATCCTTCCAATGAGGGATCTCAAGAACTCTATTACTTAAATAACTGGTGTCTACAATGCTACATCAAGGAATGAGGATGGGACAAGTGGTACCCACTATACCATAATTAACATGAAGAGAGGGGGAGAACATGATGCGGGATCATAACAACCCTTTCACCTACCAGTAGAGAGGGAGCACAAAGCAGTGGTTAAAATTCAGACTCTGGAGCAAAATGTGTGGATTCAGATTCTGGTCCTACGACCCAGGGAAGTATTTATCTGCCTCAGTTTCCCCATCTATAAAATGAAGCAGAGGGTAGAATAATAAATAATGTATACCTACAAGGCTGTTACAAGGGTTAAATGTATTAGTATTTTAAAGTGTGGCACATAGGAAATACTTGCAGAAGAAAAGGAAAAAATGCTTAAGTTAGAGTTCAAACACTTTAAAAATAAATGATAAAATAATTGTAGAGATGCATAGAAGCCAAATCAGGTAACTGAGAATACTGTATACTCAGTTTTCTTAGCAGAAGTCCACACTGCTAAAGTACAAATCACTTTCAGGGACTTCACAGAAGAGTTTGGCTATATGTAATTTAAAATATATGTAATTTAAAATGTCTTTATTCCTATGTAAGCTGAAAAGGAAAATGTTTTGTTTTTGAAATAAGGAGGTACACATTCAATAACAGCATGGACAGGAAGCCTCAGTTGCTTTGTAGACTACCAAACAAAAGCAAAAATGCTGATCCTGTGCGCCAAATCTGTTCAAAGTCTGAATGAAACGAACAATTATGTAAAATTAAGATTAAAACCAATTCCTAAAGAAATGGAGTGTCTGAGGCTGAAGAAGCTTAAGTACAAGCTGAAATGCTGTCTGCCATCATTTTTTTCCTATTCTGCCAGAAATCACGGAAGCACTCAATGACCAACCAGATCAGATCAAAATGATACAGCAGTCATTCCAACAAATTCCCACTGGTCAAACCTGGGACAACATGAGCACCAAAAAGAACGTAATAATTGACACCTAAGTTTATCAAGCAGAAAAAAAATTAGAGCAGAAATCAATGAAAGTGAAAATAGGAAAATAGAGAAAAATACTCAATGAAAACAAAACCTGTTTTTTAAAAAATATAAATACATTGATAAACCTCTATCTAGACTGAGTAAACAAAAGAAGACAAATTATCAATATAAAAAATGAAAGAGGGGCCATCATACTGATTGCAAGTAAATTAAAAGAATAAAGAAATACGATTATCAAAAATTCTATGCTCACAAATCTGACTACTGAGATGAAACAGACCAGTTCTGTGAAAGACACAATCTACCAAAATTCATACAAAGAGAAATAGATAATCTGAATAAGCCTATGTCTATTCAAAAAAATGAATCAGCCCTGGCTGGTGTAGCTCAGCGGATTGAGCGCAGGCCTGCGAACCAAAGGATCGAGGTCCGATTCCCAGTCAGGGCACATGCCTGGGTTGCAGGACAATTTCGGCTGGGCACGCACGAGAGGCAACCATAAATTGATATTTCTCTCCCTCTCTCCTTCCTTTCCCCTCTAAAGATAAAATAAAATCTTTTAAAAAGTTTAAATAAAAATAAATACATTGAATTAACAGTTATTAATCTTTCCAAACTGAAAACACCAGGCCCAAATGGTTTCACTGGTAAATTCCACCAAACATTTAAGGGGGAGAAAAATGATATCATATCTCTATAATCTCTTATAAAAAATAGAAGCAGAGCAAACACACTGTACCTTCTTCTATGAAGGCAGCATTATCCTAATACAAAATCAGGTAAGGACATTACAAGAAATCTTCAGAACAGTATCTCATAAACACAGACGCAAAAATCTTCAACAAAATATTAGCAATCAAATCCAACAATGTATAAAAAGAATTCTATACCACAACCAAGGAGGACATATCAGGTATGCAAGGCTGGTTCTAAAGTCTATTAATGTAACCCACCAAATCAACAGGCTAAAGAAGAAAAATCATGATTATATCAATGGATGAAGAAAAAAGCATTTGACAAAATCTAACACCGTTCATTATAAAAACTCTCATAAAACAAGAAATAGAAGGGAATTTCCTCAATTTGATATGGAACATCTGCAAAACAACCAACCAAACAAACAAAAAACAACCCCAAACCCTATAGTTAACATTATACCTAATGGCAAGAAACTTGATACTTCCTGTATGTTCAGGAACAAGGCAAGAATTTGAACAATTCTCTCACCACTCCTATTCAATATCATACTGGAAGTTCTAACTACTGCAGTAAAACAACAAGAGAAAATAAATGGTATAGAGATTGTGAAAGAAGAAATAAAACTGGTTTTGTTCACAAATAATATTTTATGTAGGAATTTAAAAAAAAATCAACAAAAAAACTTCCACCTTGTTGATAGTTGTTTCCATTTGGGTGTGAGTTAATTCTGATATTGCTATACAGTTGTTTCCATTTGGGTGTGAGTTAATTCTGATATTGCTATACGTGTATACTGTACATAGTGGAATAGAATAATTATCTAATGGATAACTGAATGGCATATGGTAAGAGGCAGTTTTTTCACAGTTGAAGGAAGGATGCCAGAAAGACTGACATGGCAATGGATTGAAGTTGAAGATGGTTAGGAACTCACATTTAGCTTAATACAGACATAGATGGTTACAACCAGAAATATTTATAGATATGTGTACAGACATATGTGTGCTAATATATATACACTCAATCTTTGCTCTGCTGAGAGTGCCTAAACAAACTACATCCCAGTAACAAGCACAACTAGCACCCAGATCTTGGATCTAATACTATTTAAAAAAAAGAAAGAAACAGGGCTCCTTGGAGAAACAGTTGATTCTAGGACAGGGGCAGCAAATATAAAAGATGAACTGGGAGCATCTTACAGTGTCATAAAGTAAGAAAGTCCTCAAAAACTGGCACACATACACACACACAAACAATACTCATTTTGACACAGTATGTCAAATGGACACAGGAGCCAAAGGAAAGTTCTCAAAAGGTGAAAGCTGGATCAATCTGAGCAATAAAATAAAGTAGGTTTGGATTATAACTCAAAATATAAAATACATATCCATGACTCTGTACTGATAATAACTGAATAAATTAAAAAATGGAGAAGAGACAAATCTCTCATGGGGAAGGTTTCCAAATAATTTATGCTCTCCACTCTCAGAGAGGGACAGCATAACTCCTTAGTTAATCTTCAAGTGCAGGGTGAGGATGGGGAGAAAGGAAGTAACTTTATAGTGGTGAAATGTGACAAACACTACACACTACCTTAGCCAGGTGATCAAAGTCAACATCAATAATCAAATTATGACTTCCGCCAAGATGGAGACATAGGTGGAGGAACCACCTTGCCTCTGTGCACAACCAAATCTAAGAACAACTATTTTTAACAACAATCACAACCAAGCCACACGGAAAATCGACAATACGGAGTCCAAAGACAACTAAATGCTCAGCTAAACTGGTAAGAGAAGCGAAGCCAGCAGTGGAGCAGGTGAGCAAGAAAAAATTCCCGGGTGGTGCGCCGCGCGCAAGCAGCCGAAGGCACTGATCGCGAGCTAGCTACCGGAGCGCACAGGGAAGAGGCGAGGCGGGCTGTCTGCGGTGGTCGGTAGGTCAGCGCATCTGCATGCGGAGAAACCAGTGAGAAGGGAAGCCTGCACGGGGCAGCAGGCTCACACAATTCTGCTCACACAATTCTGATCGGATAAACAAGCCCGGGGCGAGACTGGACGGGCTGGGCTAGCGGAGAGGACTGCCATTGCTCCCTCTCTGACCACGCCCCCACACACAGCGTCACAAACCAGCGACCTGGGTCGCCCCGACCTGGTAACAACTAAGGCTTCGCTCCGCTTACTTAACAGCACGAATGGACCAAAAATGGCTCTAGGACAACTCAGAGCCCCAGAACCGATAGATCTAAGCAATGAAGAAATAGCCAGTCTTTCAGATACACAGTTCAAAACACTGGTTATCAGGATCCTTACAGAACTGGTTGATATTAGTCACAAATTAGAGAAACATATGGAAGCTAAACTAATTGAAATGAATGGTAATACAAAGGAAACCAATAGTAATGGAAAGGAGACTGGGACTCAAATAAAGGGAGTGGACCAGAAGGAAGAAAAAATGATCAAACAGAAAAGAATGAAGAAATAAGAATTCAGAAAAATGAGGAGAAGCTTAGGAACCTCCAGGACATCTTTAAACGCTCCAACATCCGAATTATAGGGGTACCAGAAGGGGGAAAGGAACAGCCACCAGTGGAAAACTTATTTGAACAAATAATAAAGGAGAATTTCCCCAATCTGGCAAAGGAAATAGACTTCCAGGAAATCCAGGAAGCTCAGAAAGTCCCAAAGAAGTTAGACCCAAGAAGGAACACACCAAGGCACATCATCATTACATTAGCCAAGATTAAAATGAAGGAGAGAATCCTAGAAGCAGCAAGAGCTAAGGGGACAGTTACCTACAAAGGAGTTCCCATCAGAATGTCAGCTGATTTCTCAAAAGAGACCTGACAGGCAAGAAGGGGCTGGAAAGAGGTATTCCAAGTCATGAAACACAAAGACCTACAACCAAGATTGCTCTACCCAGCAAAGTTTTCATTTAGAATGGAAGGACAGATAAAGTGCTTCTCAGATAAGACCAAATTCAAGGAGTTCATCATCACCAAACCCTTAGTATATGAAATGGTAAAGGGACTTACCTAAGAAAAAGAAGATAAAAAAGATGAACAGTGAAAGGACAGCAAACTCAGTTAGTAACAACCACACCTAAAACAAAAGCAAACTAAGAGGACAGCTAGATCAGGAGTGGGAACATAGAAATGAAGATCTCAAGGAGGGTTAGCAACAGGGGAGTGGGAGGAGGAGAAGGGGAAAGAAGATACAGAAAATAAGTAGCACAGACAGTAGATAGAAAATAGATAGGGGGGAGGGTAAGAATAGTAGAGGAAATACAGAATCTAAAGAATTTGAGAAACGTGTTCATGAACTAAAGGGGGAAATGGTGGGGGAGGGGTATGCAGGGTGGAGGGGAATGGAGGGGGGGAATAGAGCAAATGTAATGGCATAATCAATAAAAAAGTTTAAAAAAAATAATCAAGTTATGTTAATAGTAGGTATCTTTGATATGATGTGATAAAAACAGCACTTTACCTAGTGGCTTTCCTCCCAATACCTTAAACCATGATCTAAAAATGAGAAAAACATCAGACAAATTCCAGTAAAGAAAATCAT